GAGAGAGAGAGAGAGAGAGAGAGAGAGAGAGAAATTAAAAGAGATGGGGATGTTGTTCAGGGGTTAAGTGCCCCTGGGTTCAAGTTCTGGCACAAACAAACAAACAAAAAAAAAACAAGATACATCTAAGTTGCAAGAACAAAGAAGACTTAAAAAAAAAAAGATATGTAAGGAAAATATTCACAAAAATAAAGTAAATGTGATAATATAAATAGTTGGTAAAAAGGCTTTTGATCAAAAGAACATTGTCAGAGATAAAGACACTCATTGCCTAATGAAAAGGTTTGCTTCATCAAAAAGATATTACCTTCTAAACCTCATATACCTCATAACACAGCCTTAAAATATATGAAGAAGAAATGGATGGAACTTGGATTGTACAGAGGTAGTGAGGAGGAAGGGAAATGGTACTCTTTTTTTTTCTCCCAAGATAACATTTAAAAAATATCCTTTATTACACAATATTTCAAGCACATAAAAAAGTAGAGGCTAGCAATTGTGAATTCCTTTGTATCCACCCCCACTCCCACTCCCAGCTTTAACAGCTCATGGATGATCTTATTTCCCACATCTTCCTTACCCTGCATTTTAAACACAAACCCAGACATCATTTAATTTCATCTGGAAATAACTCAGTATGAAATACTCATCTGCACATGCACACACACATACACACACTCGCACACACACACACACACACACACACACACGCTGTAAATAATTTGGTATGGTAACTATATTCAGTAGTTTGTCCTTACAAGAACTCCTTAAAAAGGAAACTATCTTGCCATCATCACACTTGCAACATTAATCAGAAGTACTTGATTTCATAAAGTATCAAGTCCATTAAAACCCCCAATTATATTATAATTTTATTTGTATTTATTTTTTGGTACTTGGGATTGAACTCAGGGGCACTCAACCACTGAGCCACATCCCCAGCCCTATTTTGTATTTTATTTAGAGACAGGGTCTCACTGAGTTGCTCAGTGCCTCGCCATTGCTGAAGCTGGCTTGGAACTTGTGATCCTCCTGCCTCAGCCTCCCCAGCCGCTGAGATTATAGGCATGTGCCACTGAGCCCAGCTTCTTACAATTTTTAACCGTTTGGTTGGTTCCATCAAGATCCAAATAAAGAACATATATTCCTGGTTGTTGCTCTGTCTGTTAAGTTTCTTTTAATATGTCGGTTCTCCCTCATCCTTCTTCCCCTTCCCTGCCAATTGTTCTGAAACCAAGCTGTTCTTCAGAGCTTGCAGAGGCTGGATCTTGTTGACTGTATACCTGTGGTGACCAGAACCACTCATCTCCTCCATATCCTATCAGTTGGTGGTAGAACTAGAGGCTTGGTTAGATACAAGTTCTTTCCCCTCTCCTCCTCCTCCTCCTCCTCCTCCTCCTCCTCCTCCTCCTCCTCCTCCTCCTTTCTTTTTGGCAAGACTAGTTCATGGGTGGTATGATGGACAACCATCTTATTTTATCTCTTTTTTGATGTTAGCAGACTTTGGTCATGGTTTATATGTGATTTACGTTCACTAGATGTTATCAAGTGCTAATCATTTATTTCTCAGTCCTTTCTCATTTATGCTCTGGAGCCTGGAGCCATGGAGGTAGGGCCCTCTGGCAGGAGCTGTGTTACAGAAAGGATGAAGTCACCTCCAGGAAACAGGACCCAGAGCAGGAAGGACATTGGGAGGAAATGGGTGGAATTTCCCTCCAGTCCTCTCACCTCCTGTTGACAGAACCTAGCCAGAGGACACAGGACAAAGGGATCAAGGATCACCCTAGGAGGAGGGGTCAGCTGAGGGAGAACTGATGGGGGTGGTAGCTAGTCTCCAATCCTACAGGGAAGGTCAAGGTTGGGGCACAGAGTAAGCAGCAAAGACCCATAAGAGAGATGATTTTGTAGTTATCTTGAATCCAATCAATCATATAATTCTTGAACACATTACTGTATGTTTAGCATTGCAGCAGAGACTTTGGGGAATACAAAGAAAATAATGACTGTTTCTCTGTTCCACATATGCAGCAAACTCACTGCCTCGGGCCATTTTCACATGGCGTGTCTTCAGCCTAGGATGCTCTTCTCCATTCCTCTCTCTTAGCCTGAAAGATGTCAGGTGGTGGGTACATTGCTAGCTACCTGTAGAGCCAGATTTCAGAGTACAGGCTGGCAATTCCAGCAAGCCTACACATCTGCGTGCCAGCTCTACAAGCAGCTGTACCCCGAGGATGATAGAACCAGTTCCTTTCTGGAACTGCAGAAAGGAACACTCAGATTCTGCATTGGTGGCATCTGTGTTGACTCCCAGACCAGTTCCAAAATGGGGACTGTTTGTGCACACACCTGTGCATGTGAGTAGCTGGGACTCTTCATTTACTAAGGAAAGAAGCTCCAGGGCATACTCCTTTACCCCACCGTAATGAAAGAAAGTAACTCCTCAGCGTTGGTCCTCTCCTAGTGTCTGTTTCTCTATGAAAAACAGTGAGGAGCCGGGCGCGGTGGTGCACGCCTGTAATCCCAGCAGCTCGGGAGGCTGACGCTGGAGGATTGCAAGTTCCAAGCCAGCCTCAGCAATGACGAGGCCCTAAGCAACTCAGTGAGACTTTGTCTCTAAATAAAATACAAAATAGGGCTGGGGATGTGGCTCAGTGGTTGAGTGCCCCTGAGTTCAATCCCAGTACCAAAAAAAAAAAAAAAGTGGGGAAACAGGGACACAGGGAGATCTGGTAGAGACCTTGGGGGTGACCCAAGCAGCCTGGTGCAGAGGGTCTTGCTCTTAACCGCTGTTCTGCACCTGCTCTCACCTCACTCACTCTTTCTCTTTCATTGTGATTTTTCTCCTCCAAGGATGTCATCTTTTCACGTCCTGCTGCTGCTAGATTTGACCCTGGATTAAGCAGGAGCGCAGTAGAGAGAGAAGAACTAACACCCCTGAGCCCTGCCCTAGGCCAGGCCCCATGTTCTGTCCCTTATGAACCTCTTCATAGTGGAGCCTCCCAAAGCCTAATGTTCTGGGTAACTATCTTGGCATTTTGAGAAGGGACAACATAGAGTGGAGGTGGAGCTGGGACCCCTGTGGAGCCAAGCTACAGGATTCAAATAGGAAGAGTGGAGGATAAATAGGTTAGTTTTCTGTCACATACAATTACCTTACAGTTATTTCTTGCATGCATAGAGGGATGCTGCATTATTTTTGTTTTTGTTTTCTTTTTGGTACCAGGGACCAAACCCAGCGGCGCTTAACCACTGGGCCATATCCTCAGACCTTTTATGTATTTTATTTAGAGACAAGGTCTCGCTGAGTTACTAGGTGCCTCACTAAATTGCTAAGGCTGGCTTTGAGCTCATGATCCTCCTGCCTCAGCCTCCTGAGTCGCTGGGATCATAGGCGTGTGCTACGGTGCATTATTTTTAATGCTGTAACAAACTGTACAATTTGTTTAAACAAACTTCCAATTTTGTTCACCCCAAGTTTGTGCCTGGCTGGGAGCCTTTGGTTTCTGCATTGTCCTCTGGTCAGTCTCACTCCATTTGAGGGCACACTCAAGTGTAGGATTCATTGCAGCCTCACTGAGTGGACTGGCCTGGGGGAAAGATGACAGGAATGAAGGAATGATTGACACCAACTCAGTTTCTCCAGGGGTCTCGGGGTGAGATGCCCTGACCTGCACTAGAGCAGATAGGATGGTGTCAGGGGTTAAGGCTGAGCAGGTGTCTCTGAGGAGAAGGCGGATTCCCCTGGAGGGCTGGGGCTGGAGAGCGACAGTGAGGTTAACATGTGAATTGGTGCATGTTCCCAGCCTAGCAACTGTGCATCAAGGGCCCGGCCACATGGCCAGCACACGGTCCCACCATCTATACTACCAGCAAGCAAGAGCCTCAGCAAATACAGTTGGTGGAGCTGTTCCCTTTGAGGAGACAGAGAACCAGGTCCCCCTCTGCAGCCTGTGGGGCTTCCCATAACATGCCTGAGGGCAGTGAGCGTGCAGATTCACGGTGACCTGCCCTGGTCTGCATGTCACTGGGGACCCCTAGCCCCTGCCAGCCATATTCTAGGAACTGCACCCTCCAGTGTCGCCACTCAGATAATAACGCTGGGAATGAGGATCCATTTCCTTTGTGGGATCGTTTTTCATAGACACATGTGTCATCTCAGCTCCCACAGTGTAACGGCGACAAAGGAGAGAGTTTCTTTAATTTTCGGCATCAAAGGATCACATGTATGGAAAACGTAAATAATTACATTCTCTGGAATGCCCATCTGGCATTCTGGAGAAATCGATTTTTGCTTTTACAGACTAATAAAGTGATAATGAGGAGTCAATGAAGAGTTGAGGATTGTCACTCGGGTGGTCCCTTGCAGATGCTGCAGATGTTGATAGTAGGGCAGTTGTGTGTTGGGGGCAGCAGGGGCTACATGGAAACCCTTTGTATTTTTTTTTTTTTTTGCTTAATTTGGCTGAGAGCATAGAATTGATCTAAAAAGAAAGCCTCTTTTAAGAAAGACCAATTCATTTTTTTAAAAAATAGACAAACAGCCAGGTGTGGTGGCGTTCGCCTGTAATCCCAGCCGATCGGGAGGCTGAGGCAGGAGGATCGTGAGTTCAAAGCCAGCCTCAGCAATTTAGTGAGGCCCTAAGCAACTCAGTGAAACCCTGTCTCTAAATAAAATACAAAAAAAAAAAAAAAAAAAAAAAAACCCAAATAGGGCTGGGGATGTGGCTGAGTGGTTAAGCACCCCTGGATTCACTCCTCTGTACCAAAAAGAAAAAAGACAACCAGGCCTCCTACTTTCTCAGTGCGCTCCTTCCCAGCCGGTATTCCTCCGACTCCCTGTAGTAGGTCTGTTTGCCAATCTCTCTTTCCCAAAAGCGCTTGAGATCGTGGCAGGTGTTCCCGCAGAAGACCTCCCGGCGGCGGGCGTACTGATTGTTCATCCCCTGGAAGAGAAAAGAGCAGCCAAACCCTGTAAAACAGGAGCCCTCGGCTCTCCTGGGTACAGAGTCCGTGATAATTCAGACCCACGATTTCCACCAGGGAGACCCTGGCCAGCCACAGGACCTCTGTGAGGGGCATGACAAGGCTCGGCTCACCACTCCCTGTTCTTGTTGTCAGGATACCTGAGACGTCGATGCAAGTGGAAGGTGGCCCATACCTGAACAGGTGGGCCAGGAACAGGTCATCGGCAAACACCTCTGTCCTTCCTTCCTCCTTCAGGAAGAATCATTCCTCAGCTGTTTACTGGCAAGTGTGTGTGCCACTGATTTGTGCACCTTGGACCCCTCCGCCATGGCAGCATCCTGGTGAGATGGGCAGGACCTTCCTCACGATGGGGGACATTTGAGGAATTACAGAAACTTCTTGGGGGTCCCAATGAGAACTGGAAAGGGCAGGCTGTATACTTTTGAAAGTTTTCAAGTCCTTTACTACAGGGGCCCCAATGTCTAACACACCCAGAGCAAGCTGCTTTGAGCTGCACCTGCATGCACACACGTGTGACCATTTGTACACGTGCCAGTGCTTGCGTGTGGAATTATATATGTCAAATGATCAAAATGCTCTCTATTCGACATGAAGAAACTTTGCCCAAGTACCAGGACTCAGTGAGTTCAGCAGACAGATCAAAAACCAGGGACTGAAGCCAGGCTTGGTGGTGCATGCCTGTAATACCAATGATTCAAGGGGCTGAGGCAGGAAGTGCAGGTTCAAGGTCGGCTTTGGCATCTTGGCAAGCCTGGTCTCAAAAGTAAATAGATAGATAAATAAATAAGTAAATAAGTAAATAACTAACGAAATAAGTAAATAACTAAATAAATAAATAAGATAAAAGACCTGAGAATGTAGCTCATTGGGGAAGTATGGTTTTCTGAGTGACCAGGACAATGGAACAGGGGTGGGGGAGAGACGGGTATGAAGCTAGATGTCTTCTCCAGTCCTGTGTCCCTACCGACCTTGTACCTTGTACTCATTACAAAAATTCTTTGGGCACCAAGTTACTTATCTTTAAAATTTCTCTCAAATTCATATTTGATGACAAATGTGAAAAGTTTGCAATTTATAAAATTCTGAATAAATAGAGGGGTTGACTATCCCTCATCTAAAATGTTTGGAACCAAAAGTGTTTTGGATTTTGGATTTTTTTTGCAGGGGGGTGGAGGTCGGTGGATTTGGGAATCTTTGCAAATACATAATAGAATATTTGGGGGGACTAAGACCCGAGTCAAAACATGACGTTCATTTATGTTTCAAATATACCTTATACACATAGCTTGAAGGTAATTTTATATAATATTTTAAATAAATTTGTGCATGAAACAAAATTTCGAGGTATGGAATCTTCCACTTGTGGTATCCTGTAAGCACTCAAAAAGGTTTGGATTTTGGAGCATTTTGGAGCTGGGATTTTAAATCAGGGTTTGCCCAACCTATGATTAAAGAACTTGGTCCTGGCCCTTTGATTATCTCAGACCATTGTCTGGCTTAGGGACATCACCAGCCAAAGTGAATTGAAAACACTGACACCGCAAATTAGCATGAATTTTCCCTATTCATCCATAATAGTGAGTGTTCATCTTCTTGGGTACGTGACCAAGAGTCATTTATCTCTATCCCTGGCCTGTTGGTCACCACTTAGTAATCCTTAGATGACAGGGCAGAGATCTAGGTTTAACAATCCTGCCACGGGTCCATGCCCAGAAAGAGCATTTGGTAAGAGCTTTTATCCCTGTGTCCTTTACAAGGTGAGCCCCGCTATGCCAGGACATTGGGATGTGTCCCATGTGTAGAAGAAGGAAGAAGTGTGTCTTTCCAAGGAATAGCAGGGTTCTCCCTGGGCTGAAGGTTGACATCCCTCTCTACCTCCCTCTACTAGGTCACGTGACCACCTAACCAGTTGTTTTGCTAGAATATTCTGGTGACACGATGGTATAAATAAGTGAGATCTTCTCCAAGAAAACACACATTTCATTTTTAGACAAATACCTTGTCTTCCTCCCCCCCCCCACCCATGGTCCTCATTATGAGCAGAACTGTAGCACCTGCTGTTATCCATTTTATAGCTTCCAGGAAACAAAAGTAATGTCAACTTTAGAAATTTACTTTTGGAAAATCATAAAAAAGAAGGCAGAAAGAAAATACTAAAGATACCTAGAGCCACTCTCCCCCGCATCCTCAAGGGCTGACTCTGGGATTAGGCAGGGTCTCCCCTCCAGTGACTTTAGGTATCATGGAGAACGAAGTAGATACAGACTTGTCACAGGCACTGGAACTTCGTGGGATAGCTGCTGGGGTCGGGGAGCATGAGGAAAGTCCCTGACTTGGTCTGAGAGGTTTCAGGACTTTTTAGGGGAAGGACAATTGGACCAAGGGAGTAGAGTAACCAGGAGCCAGAATGGCCTGGGCGAGGCCTGAGGGACCTGCTGGGCCAGACACAGAAGCAGACATGGGCTCATTTGGGGTAGGGATGGGGGAAGAGACTGACCGAAGAGTGGCCTGGGGCACTTCTTAAGGTGATGGACATGTCCTGGATCTTGTTTGTAATGATGATTACATACATGTCTGCATTCTCCAAAAATTCTCAGACTGTGCACTTAAAAAGAGGGAGTTTTATTACCCTTAAACTATGCCTCCATAAAGGTAGAAAAAAAAAATTCTTCTGTCTTTGGACTAGAGATTCATCCAAGATCCCCGACTCTATCTCACGTCCTGGGAGATTCCGTCAGCATCTCCTCATGAGGGTTCAGCCCGTTCATTCCTCCACAGGGAACGTGTGTTTCTGTGAGAACGGTCTCCAGGATGGGGACCACTGCTCCACCTTGCAGAAGTGATGAGGAGACTGTCATTGGAAAGCCCTTTGGAAACAGGGGATTATCATAGATAAATAGTTCTAACCCCTTGGACCTCTTTAGCCAAGAACACCATCTACCAGGCGGCAGCTGTATCAGGAGAATCAGCGTTAACCTCAATGACAATTATGAACTTCATGTCCCAAAATCAATTAATGATTAAACAGTCTCATTAATTCAGCTCAACAAAACTTGTTGGACTTTGACCATCTGTGAGGCATCTATGACGCATGAGGGTCTCACTAAAGTTTAGTGAGCCAAACAAGACAAAGGAACGTTTGTCCCTCTTGAGGCCCAATGCTGTGCCAGCAGTTTAATTTCTCAAGTCTCAGGTTACATAGAGCATTAAAGTCAAATTAAGGAATTGAATTTTTTTTTTTAAGAGTTTTGGCTTACACTGATCATTCTCAGACTTTTTGGCCAGAGTGGCTCCTTTGAGACCAGCAAAAGGTGCATAGCTGCCAACGTGCTTCATGCATAGACAGCACCTCATGAAAGCAACTATTTTGTGATTATTTTCCCCAATTTTTATTTATTTATTTTTTTGGTACTGGGGATTGAACCCAGGGGCGCTTAACCATTGAGTCGCATCCTCAGCCCTTTTTTAATTTTTTATTTTGAGACAGGGTCTTGTTAGTTGCTTAAGACCTCATTAAGTTGCTGAGGCTGGCTTTGAACTCAGGATCCTCCTGCATCAGCCTCCTGAGTCACTGGGATAACAGGCTTGTGTCTGACTATTTTTCAAGATTTTAAAAAAAGTTTAAAAATTTAATCACTTTTTGAATTTTTCTTTATGATCATAACTTAAGTTGAAGGGAAGAGTTCCATTTCTGGGTTAGGTGGAAGGAACACACACCGCAGCTCCCAAGTCTGCACAGAGCACATGCTGCAGCCCTGTGAAGGCACTAATAGGGACAGTAGGAGGTGGACTGGGGAAGAAGATCAGAGTCTTAGTCACTATTGAGTGGTGCTGAGCTTTCCATTTTTTTCTCTGTTACCCCTAGCTGAGTCTCAAGGCAACCTGGTACCCTAATCAATAAACAGGCTAATTCTCAAAATGTCCAACAAATACATGAAAATATTGTCAATGTCCTTAGCACTCAGGGAAACACAAATCAAAACTATCAAAACTACCCTGAAGCCTGGGCATGGTGGCCCACGCCTGTAATCCCAGCAGCTGGGGAGACTGAGGCAGGAGGATCTGAAGTTCAAAGCCAGCTTCAGCAATAGCAAGGCGCTAAGCAATTCAATGAGACCCTGTCTCTAATAAAATACAAAATTGGGCTGGGGATGTGGCTCAGTGGTCGAGTGCCCCTGAGTTCAATCCCTGGTACCCCTCCAAAAAAACAAACAACAACAACAAAAAACTACACTGAAATTTCATCTCACTCCAGTGGATGATGAAATTTGATGATAGCATCAAGAATATAAATAGTAAGGGCCTAGTCCAGTGGAACATGACTGTAATCTCAACGGCTCCGAAGGCTGAGGCAAGAGGATCATGAGTTCAAAGCCAGTCTCAGCAAAAGTGAGGTACTAAGTAACTCAGTGAGACCCTGTCTCTAAATAAAATACAAAATAGGGCTAGGGATGTGACTCAGTGGTTGAATGCCCCTGAATTCAAACCCTGGTGCAAAAAAAAAAAAGAATATAAATAGTAAGGGATGGGGTTGTAGTGCAAGTGGTAGAGCACTTGCCTATCATGGATGAAGCACTAGGTTTGATTCTCAGCACCGCATATAAATAAATAAAATAAAGGTCCATTTAATGACTAAAAAATATTATTTTCAAAAATAAATAGTAAGTGCTAATGAGAATATGGGGGAAAGGAAGACTTATGCATTGTTGGTGGGATTTTAAATTAGAACACTCTGGAAATCAGTATGGAGGTTCCTCAAACTATTGGGAATGGAACCACCTTATGACCCAGTTATTCGACTCCTTGGTTTTAATAGTCAGACATGCATACCCATGTTTACAGCAGCACAATTCACATTAGCCAATCTACAAAACCAGCCTAAGTGTCTGTCAACATAGATAAAGAAAATATGGAATATATACACATGGAGTTTTATTCAGCCATAAAGAAAAATGAAATG